TATTTTGCACGGCGAAATTTGATTAAGTCTGCGCTGGGGAAGAGTTTATTTTGCCAGCGAAATGGTTCTCTAAGCGATACAGTTTAAACATACAAGGTGGGAAGGAAAAAAAACTTTATATAAATTTAGTATTAATTCCAATAGAATACATTTTTAATAATGTTTTTATAAAAAAAAACAGTAATTTATACCATCTGTCTATTAAAAATAACCTCTGCACCTCTTTACGCTACAAAAGCATACTCTTTTTACAAAACCATATTTCGACAGATTTTCCAGCGAATATCCTTTTAACTTTTTGCCAAAAAAGCTCAAGCATCTGTGAAGAAATCCCAAAAATCCACACATGTCTTTGCAAAAAAAGTAATCTTTATTTTTCCTAGAAATGAATTGCCTGAGCCTTTGAGAGAAAAATCTTAACTGGTGGTTAGGCATGATTTTTTTTTTTTGAAAACAGAACAACATGGAATCATGAAATTCAAGTCCCCAAAATGTTCAACCATGTGGCAATGGATTAGCCTTCAGGTAGATGTGGCATCATACAGCAAAAACCACGAACATGGTAATTAAGGGACAGATGCAACCCGCTGGACCGACTGCCACATCATCCAAAACCTAAACCAATTACAATGACTGCCCTCTCGTTCGACTGTCAATGGCATCAATGTTGGAGTTTTGTCACCCTTAATGTGGCATGGAGTGTTGAATTCCCCTTAAACAGGTATTCTGTCACAGGTGACAAAAGTCGTTTATCGGCGGTGGAGTCCACTCAGTGCGGTTCCCTTAATGAAGATACGATTTTGTCGACTCGCAATTAGCTATTCAGAATTTGGTTCGACTTGCGACTTAACTATTCATATCTGCCGCCATAATGAGCCCTAAGTAAATGATAAATTATGCAGCTGCCGGCTCCATGAATACCAACTTATCCGGCCAAGCAATTTGGCCAACATCTGTAGCCGTTGTCGCCGCTGCACGATTTGCATTAGCCACACCCAGACGAGGCAGCTGCCCGCTTTTCGATTCTCGGCAAGGTCCCTGCTTTTTATGGCCCATCAGAATGCAGTTAGATTTTTTGGGCGTTTTTTATGTCGTGCAGTGCATGTTGCACGTCATGTTGCAACATGCTGCAGCTGAGGCAACTGAGGCATCTGATTTATGACCCCAACTGTTTATTTGCCGGCCGTGTCCGAAAGTTGCCGGGCCGAGATTTATGTGGGCTCCCCAAAAGACAAACCGCACGCAGCTTCCTCAGAATAAACTGCACTAATAAGTTGCCGAGCTTAAGGCAAGACGCTCCGGATGGGATGCCCTGGATGGGAGGCTGCCAGAAATGCCACAAAGTACAAAGCAATAGACAAAACAAATGTTGGCAAAAGTTCACAGTTCGCAAAGTTTGCAGGGCTCGAACGGGGTAAGAAGCATAAATCGTTTTATTGAGCGCGTCAGGCGAAAAGTTGTTGCAACAACAGCGGCAGCTTGGTGGCAGGGCAGCAATTTGCCAGCACTGGATGGAACAGGCACAATAAAGCGTAAAACTTTCTTCAAACAAGCCCCGAAAAGAAATTGGCAACAGACGGCGGCGTTCAAAAGTCTACCGAGCCACCAATGAAATTGGCCAGGCCAATTGTTAATGGCTAATTATAAGTGTTTGTGTGTGAGTGAGTGGCCAAGGATGCCTATCCGAACAGGGACAAAGACAAAACCAAAGATTTCTTGGCACATTTCACACTCTGGTGGGACAACAAGAAATGCACATAAATTTTACTTAGCCAAGTTGCAAGGAGTTTCGCCTGCCAAGTGCCAACGAAAAAGTCAAAAGAAGTGCAAAAAGCGATAACAACAATAAGTTGCGAGTGCACAATGCAAGTGGCGATAGTTTGGCCATAGTTCTCTACACCGAGCCCCTTCTGGGCCATGGTTTTGACGAAACGTTCAATAAAAGGCCACAGGGGTCGGGGCAGGTCGGGGAATATCCTTTTAGTGTCAGCCAGGGCAACAAAATTTATGCGAAATTAACAAGCAGCTAGCAAAGGTTCCGTTACAGTTTCTTGCAGCAAATAGGCATAAATTTGCATTTAATGGAGTCGACAAAAACGCTAAAACAGGGTTTTCAAAAAAAAAAAAAGAGCAAAACTAAAAATAAGCAGCACAAATGCCAAAAAATTATTCTGTTATTTAGTATATAATTTGGTGGAATAGTCTTGGTTGCGGTCCGTTCGGGTCTGGTCTGGTCTGGCTGCAGTCGCCAGGTGCCATTAAAGCCGCATAAATTTTTTAAACTTTCGCCAATTTGCATTGCAAATCGGCTTGCAAACACACACACCTCTCTCCTTTTGGCTAATATACACGTGTGCAAGCGTGTTTGTATATTCGCGTTCTGCATGTGGTTTCAAAAGCGTTTGGGTCAGTCTATTAAAATGCAAAGAGCCAGACCCCCACTTCCCCTAGCACTCTCCCTTTCGGCCAGCTCTTTTCCCCGGCCGGAAGTCCATTTTGTCTTGTCGCTCACATCATAAATATGGCCGGGCAAATGGCGGCTCTGTTTATGGCCAAGACCCGTTTTGTATGTTGCCGCTTTTAATGACAATTTGTTGAGGTTTGCATAAAATTTCAACTGAATTTCATTTGACACACATTCAGGATGTCTTCGTATTTTTTTTTTCAGCCTGACATAAATTTAAATAATTGTTCCTTTTGACGCTTTCATTTCCCAACATGCCAGTTTGTGGTATATTCCAGGTTTTTCATTTTTTTTTTTTGCCTTGGGCGTTTTACGACACAACTGGCCGTCTTTGAGGACTTGGTCAATAGCCTGGCCTTCTCGGTTCAGACCACCACTCGGCCATTAAATTTTCAATCAATCTAATCATTATGCCCAATATGCTCAAATTTTCATTTGAACCACAACTTGAAATGTCTTATTCATGCGCCTGGGGTTACGCAATGATAAATTTATTGGCAACCCTATTGGAAGTTCTGCAATATCCCAACCAAAATCAATAAAAACATCTGTATTTATGTGAGCCTTTCGAAATCAAAGTCTGGTTTAAGATGTGCTAGTTAAAGTTCCAAATGACATAACCGTGTATTTCTTTATTTTCAGTGTTTGTTTTTATACTTTTGGTTTATTATTTTCCACACGGGTGCTCCGACATGACGAAATTTACTAGCCCAAGCTTTAGCCAAAAAAAAAAAAAAACAGAAAATAAATAAAAGCCAGGAACACGAGGAGCGCAGACATCGACAAAGTTGTCGACGCTTCTTCGGTCTGCGAGCTTGTCACTTAAAGGGAAAAACAATTTTTCTACATCTGAAGAAGTGTACGTGCATGTGTGCGAGTGGCTGAGTATCTATGGGTGTGTAGTGAAGCTATCTGAAAACCAATTTTCGTTGCTAAATTGATGTTTATAGCTATGTACGAGAGCTCGCTGACGACAGCGATGAGAATGACGATGGCGATGACGATGATGCGGCCGTCGATGGCTATGATGAGCTTGTTGCGGCCACCTCTCCTGGCTCTGATGAAGACAAAGTGCCAATGCGGAAAACTAAACGCCAAGCTCCCGAACAAGCCAACTCAAGCCAAGCCAAGTAGTAGCTGCACTGGCCCAAAACGGATAGTTCTTTGACCAATATAGTATAGTCAAAAGTATGCTTTTTCTCAGTGCACTGCAAGTGGAAGTCTCTCTCAGAATCAGGCAATGAAAATCCTTTTCGACGCGACTCGAATCAACTCGAGGCCCCTCTCAGCTCCGCCCCGGACTCTTTTGACAGCATTTTGATGCTTCCGCTTGTAATTTATGTGACACTTGCAGTGCCATAGATCAGGCTGCGGGGCAAGCCATGACACTGCTAGTTTCTGTTGCCATATCCTCGTTTTTATTAGGTCCTTGCCAAAGCTTCGGCTGCTTGCTGATTTCCTCGAGCAAATTTGATCAATTGAAACAAGCGATAAACGGATGGGAATGACAGGTAATCTAGGTTCAGTGCTCAGTTAATTATATGCCAGAGGAAGTGCGCATAAATAAACAATTAGGTAGGTGACACCCAGATAACTGAGACTTGCTCCTCCACTGCTCCACTGGCACTTGCACTTGCCACACACGACCCGAGCTGCATATTAATTGCAGCTCATTCGCACACATCAGCTGCATTTAGCCAAGTTTCCCGGGGGTGTGAGCCATGGCAAGAATTTCATCCCCCAAGTGACTGAATCATCAGACATCGGGCATCAGGATTCCCCCTTTGGTGGCGCTACGTTTGAGTAATCCATGTAGAATGAGGCGTTTCTTTGGTATTCCCCATCAGTGCTGGCAAATATATTTATTATTTCTAAACAAGTTTAAATATTTTTTAAGTAAGGATATCAAGTTTTAAAAAATTTTAAAATATTAAACCATTTAAATCATGTTGTTTATTTATTTAGTCGCAGCTTTTTTTCTCTGTCTGTTTCTTCATCAAAGCCCCCCATGAACGCATTTGAAATGCTTGCTCCCCTCTTGCAACTCGGCGTGCTCGGCTTGACACTGCACCCCACAAGCACAAGCAAAGTGCAGCTGCTTCTGGTTCTGGAAATGTCACGGCCACTGCCATTATCTTGGGCATATGTCTAAGTCAGATCAAAGCCATAATGCCTCGCCACTCAACCGAAGCGGTAAGAGTGGTGTAAGTGCAGATGACAGCGGTATTAGGGCCAATTAGATGTGCAGTGCTGGCGAAATGCGTCTTGGTAAATTGAGCTGGATTAATGTACGATGGCTAGAAAGATCTGAAATGGCGAAATTAATATATCCTACCTGTTTAATTAAAGAATTTTCTAGTTTCACTATTCTCATGCAACGTTATATCTGTTGTTTTCTACAATATCTAATGAAAAATGATGTCAGGTGTGAGTCAGATGTTTAAACAGCAGTTTTCATCTCTGAATTGGGTTCATGGTCATTCGGTGATAAATACCTCAAAGCAGTGAACAAAACCAAAATGTATCCGCATTTGCCAAGACATTTGATCACAACATCTGGTCGATAGCTGCTAAACACTCGACATTCACTTCCGTCATGAATACTCAAGTCTGGATACTATTCCTCGTATCGATTGCAAGTGCCAGTGGAATATTCTTCGAAAAGACAACTTCAGCACGAAGAGGGGGATCAGAGGATGATGATGTTATAGGCGGACTGAAGCAATTCTTTGGATACACACCAGAGGCGGAAACCAGCAGCTTAAACAAAACAACCCACCAAGGAACGGAGCCGACCACGGGCTTTTATGATAATGTGGACACGGCTCTGGAAGAGGCAACAGATACTGTGGACGGTTTGTGGCAGCAATTTAAAAAGGTAAAATGAGAGGAGTAATGAGGAAAAAAGATTTCACAAAGGGCTAACTTGTTGCAAGGCGAACACTTAAAAAAATGGTCAGGGATTATAGCTTTTTGAAGGCTGTTTCCTCTTGTCCTTTTTCGATGGATAGATTCCTCGGATTATCATTAAAAAGGTTGAAAAATATTCATATTCAAGGTGAGAAGAATAGTGTATTTGAATTGTGAGACAAACAAAATTGTGTAAAATTTCATTCAAAATTTATAAAATAATACATCTTTTTTATCAAGACACTTGGCCCTTCTTTGCCTGACTTTAAAGTTGATCAAGAAAAGTGTCAGTAAAAAAAATTCTAGAAATACAACTTGGGTAAACACTTAAGTACTGATAAAATCCCAAATCAAGTCACTATATCAAAGTGGAAATATTCCATTCAACTGAATAAATCTAACAAATTAAAGCATTATAGCCTTTTTAAGATTTAATAGAGTATGTTTACCTTTTGTCTTTAGCCTTACGGCCTTGAACAAAAACAAATGTAGGCTGTTTTGATTACAATTTCAAATATTTATCGAAGATCTATAAATCTTTTCTATTGTGCGCTCTAAACAACTGTATATACGCGTAGGCATATATTTAGAATATTGGTTAAAGTTTTATTGTTCTAATTATTACGAAAGAGAGTTTACTTTTTTGATAGGTTAGAAGTAACTACCGCAAAGGTTGTAAGATTTTTCAAATTAAATTTCCTGTGCAGGGACTTTTCAGTCTGATGGGCAGTTTCAGTGTCGGCGATGATGGCGTTGACGGACAGGTTGCACCCACAAAGGCGACCGTACCGCCTACTCCCGCCCAGCAGGCAACAAAGCCAATTGCAAATGAGACGTCTACTGTAACGGAGCCAACTCCCGCGGCGGCTGTCGCTTCATCAACAACAACAAAAGCCACGGTGGAAATAATAGCGTCTACTACAGTGGCGACAAAAACTGCAACAGAAGCAACATCAGCGGAAGCAACGACCACAAGGGTGACTGCATCGACGGTGGAAACAACAACCACATCCCCACCGGCCACCAGCACTGGAGCTCCATGAGGAGACAGAGACTACAGACTAACCTTCGTATCGGATATTGCTCGTCATTGTTTGCTTGAAGCCAGCTGAGCTGGAGTATTTAAAGACAGAGAAAGTAAATACAGGCACGCAGTAGAAATAATCAGCCGAAGTTTTATTATTTACCCAAATGGGGGACCGCTTTCCCCGACCAAGCCAATTGACATATTTAAAGCTACACGCTTATCACTCTTTAGTCGGCCATGCCTTCGAATCGTTGTGGTTTGTCCATATTTTTCATTTCGATCCAATTGCTGGGCTTTGTCCTGGCAGCCCCCTCTGATAACTCCATGGATAATGCCAATCGGATTTTCGCCTTTGATGTCATAATGGACCAATCGGATCATTTGCCAGCTGAGCTCCAGCTTAAACTGCTCCAGGAAGAAAGAGAGCAGGAAGGTTTGTAGCCAGGATCCGCGTTTGAGTATTTTTTTTTCACATTGGATTCTATTCTTTGACTCTCCAGATCTGGAAATGGTTCGAATGCAGTTGATGCAGTTGAATTTACTGAAACTGCTGATCGTCTTGGATATTCTGATAGTGTTGTGTCTTTATTTGTACATCTGCAAGGCTAGAGAAAATAACACGGATGAAAATCATATGATACTTAAGTGTTAGAATACCTTTTAAATAGCTTTTATATCTTTAAGGTTTAAGAGCATTGACTTCATGTTTTTGCAATCCAATTTCTTGGTGATCCTCTTATCAGCAATTAGCGGCAATCCTATATTTAATTAGAAAATGAAAACACCAAACGTGTGCTAGAACATTAAATAAAATGAACGAAATTTAAAGTCAAACAAACCGAAATTGAGAATTTGTTTAGTTCTGTTTGCCATTCCCTGGCAAGCAATGGAAAGTCCCCGACCCCTAGATTGCATCGCTAAATATCGAAAACAGTTGGATGGCTCAGTTTGGTTGTTTGCTATTTGAACTTTTGTGTTCATAAATATTAACAGCTATTAAAACATCCACACACTTGGGTTCTCCGCCGGACAAATACTGACTCAAAATTAATTTTAAAATTTAAAACTAACTGCCTGCAATTTACGCTCCATTTGAGTGTGTAAAAATAAATACACGGCCTGCCGATGGGAAGGGCATTGCAATGCCATCAGGTGGTTGGCCGAATGGATGGGTGGGGGGCTGGTTGGTTCAGCCTAATGTTCATTTAATTAAAAGCGGAAATTAAGCAAGTGAGTTGAGCCAGTGGCCAAAAGCGAACGAATGGCCAAGAAGCAGCCAAGCGACGAGCCGTGGCCAAGTGTCCCGAAATTGGCTGGGATGAACTAGGGAACTTTTTGGGCAAGTTGGAGGAAATATTAAAAACGGAAAACACTTTGGGGCAACAAATTCTCACTGGCTGGCTGTCGACTCCTTTCCACTCCGATGCTGTCCTTTGCCATGTTTTCCTATTATTTTATACACACTTTTTTGGCAGCTTTCTTGGTGCTCAAGCTGTAGTCTTGGCAAAAAACCGGGGCGGCATAGCGCAACGAGTTCAGTTAAGTTGAGTTGCGTCGAGTGGCATGAAAGTAGAGTGGAAAGTGCCTGGAAAAAAGGAAGCAAGGCGTCGCAATTAGCAAGTTTACTGCATGAAATTATGAAACGCTTAATAAAAGCACACCCGGGCCTGGACGGGCATACAGTACTCAAAAAAAAGGTCGAAAAGAATATTCGTACAATATATTAAAACACAGAGCTTCACAAGTGCCAGCAAGTTAATTAAAAGGCTCGCATATTTGAAAAGTTTTGCCCCGACTCTGCCATCATCATCACCATTTTCATGCCGAAAGCCATCGCCATCACCATCATACTGTATTCACCGTATCCATCCATATACTTCCATATACAGTATACCGCCCCATCATCAGCATCGGGCCTGCAATTTAATCATGTAAGTGCTGGCAAATTGTTGGCTAAAATTAGAGCCAGACAAATATTGCGCATACGCCTAGTATCCGCGTTAAAAGGATGTTCCTGGTCCTACACTCGTGTTGCGGCCGCTGTTGTTGCTGTTGCCAAGTTTTATGCTAATGGTTTTCGTTTAAAGCCAAAAGTAATTTATTGTTGTCAGCGGGCGCCATCAAAAATGTTGCTGCACATTCATTATGCCCCGAATGTTCTATGTACGTCCGTACATTTGTGTGCCTCTCTCTCATTGTATGGATCGTATAAGTATATGCCGCGTATAAGTATATGTGTAGCCCGGCATGCATTAAAATTTTAGCCAAAAACAAAGCTGCCTGTGAGTCGACAAAACTTGCATTGAAATTAAGTTAGCCAAGGGGAAATATGAAGCTCAAAATAAGCGAAATATTTAGCCGCCACATCGCTTACCATATCTTATGAGCTATGTTATTTTTTTTGGGATCAACTTTACTTAATTTAAGCTAAAGAAATTTGCAGTGTTTGTGTGAAAACTAAATTTAAATATTTTACGTTTTTCTGCGCACATCCATGTCTCTAAGCCATGAGACACGTTCTCGACCCAGTGGCCCATTGGCTGCCCGGAAAACTATGCCAGAAGATAAAACAGCCGCGAACTTTGCAACATGTTTACGGTAAAAACGTGATTTTCGGCACAAAAACGGAGTGCTTGACCAAATGTGGCCAACACCCCCACGCCCAACCGGACTCAGATCGAGATCCAGAACCCTTTGCCAACTGTAAATAAGTTGAGTTAAGCGGAGAGGCACGCGCACCACCCAACCACAGACATAAAAATTAAACATTTGTAGCTTTGTCACGTTTGTGTTGACACTTTCTTATCACAGTGAGGGGCGAAATGAGGGTGCCCGGCTTCCCTTTCCGCCACGCCTCCTGCCACCACGGCTTCGGTCTCGACCCGGCCTAAATATGTGCGTGTGCGTGTCAGCTTTGACTGGCGGTGCGACCCACCTGACCCCGACTGAAATAAAACTTCAGGTGAGTGAGTGGTATGAGTGTGGGTGATGTCGAGTGAACCACTGAACCCAACACCCAACCACCCATCTAACCACTCACATAGCGCACAGCATATGCCATGCACTTTCATTAAAATCGGGCAAGTGCGACGTGTCAGCTGATTCCGAACATTGAAGCCAGAAAGCGAAGTTTGTGGCTAAGGTTTAGGCCACATGCCAAAAGCCAACTTGGCGATTTCTAGTGCCAGTTTTCGGTGGAATAATTTGCGTTAGTTCTGTAATTAAATGCGGTTGACGAATGCTGTTTTGCGCTGACAGGATATCTTACATTTTCCGAAAACGCTTTAGTGGTTTAAGCTTGAATCGCAGGCATTAATGTTTTAATAAATGAAATTAATGTCAAACATATAAAAATTAAAAGTTGGAAACAGATTACGCAGCTTATTCATGTATTGTTCATTGAAAAAAAAAACTTGTAGGTAAACATTTAAAAAAAAAAATAATATTAACTTCAAAGATTGTATGTAATTAATGTATATTAATTAAGATAGATTTGGTTTTAATAGGCATTTATGATCCATTGTAAAGAAATCTTTTTGCAATTTAATGAATTAAAATTCAATTTATTTTCTCACCATTTAACCAATTGATTCACAAATTATCTGATTGATGAGTCACTTTATTTTTAAATTAGTTTTTATTTATATATGATTTGCACGAGAATTAAATACGTACTTATAAATTAAATGATTATAATAGGTTAAATTATATCAACGAAATTTTGGCCTTTAGCTAATAGAAATCAAATCAAGCTAATCAAGAACCTTAAATTCAAAAGAATACAATTTTAATGAATATTAAGTTACATTTAGTCTCAGATCTGAACCTTCCAATTTAATTAGTATAATAATTGAGTATTATTAGCATATGCTAATTGTAAAATGAGATGAGACATCCAGGTGAAAATGATAAGTTTGGTTTCTGGGGCATAATAAAGTTGGCTAGCATCAAGTTTTCAACACGGCCTGCAAGTTAAGGCCACTATTGGCCTCTGAAAGTGATTTCCTTAGCATTAGCCACTGCCATTTGTCTCGACCAACATCTCAGTTTCTAATTCATCCTCGGAAACCAGCTTTCTCTCTGCCCCCTGTCATTTTGACCAATATGCATGTGGTGTTGGCCAAGTGCTGGTCCATAATTTTTGGTCCGAGGCCCGGGCCACAATGTGCACTCTATTCCGACCGATACTCGCCCTGGGTTTTTGAGCCCCTAATGCGTTGCTCTTGCCTCGAAGATGGGCTCGATAATTTCATTTGCATATTGTATACCGTATGCCTTCTGCCATATACGGGGCACTCTGGAGCACAGTTCCTCGCATGCTGAGATACATTTTGTGGCCGAAATTTATGACATGCCATTTGGGCTTGAGTTTCGGCCGGGGCCCAAAGTGGAGCTGGAGAAGTCGGCCCGCTGGGAGTCGAAGTGAAGTGTAAGCTGTAAGCTGTAAGCGAGTGGTTGCCAACTTTGTTGCCATGCAACTTTAATGAGTTGACGCACGAGACCGCAAAACTTGACACCCAAAGGCTTTAAATTGAAAAAGTTTAATGAGCATGCGTATTTGATTAAAGCTCACAAATAGGTATACGACGGAGGCTATTTCATTTAGCCAGGTTAGCGGTTCCTTTGTGCCCCCACCAAATAATAAAAGTTTGGCGCGGCAAAGTGCAGGGTTGTCATTTATTGACAATTTTCGCTTGGCTGCTTTTGACACCTGATCTCTAGGCTGAAATTGGAAAGAGAAGCCTGTTCAGATAGAGCTGTGGGGCACGGAAGTTCCTACTGCTGTTTTTTTCCTCTCAGGCTCAAACTTTCCGGTCGCCCTGCTGCAACAAAGAAGTTGGCAAAAGTGCCAAGGAAAAAGTCCTGCGGCGGGGCGTTTGCTTATTGCTGGCAATTCAATTAAATGCAGAGCTGCATGAAACACACTTTGCCTAGGTCTAGAGGCACAGCATGTGTGGGAGTAGCCGCTCAACCTTTTATGCCTTGCATCGGAAATCCATAAAATGCATCACATGCTATCAAAGGCTTGAAAGTTTTTATCCAAAGGTGCAAAGGACATTTATTATTCGGCAGGCGTAGTGCAGATCCTGCTTTTTTTTTGAGCCCCCTTTTCTCTCACACAGCTCTATTTGTCTCAATTGCAATCAAACTTTCTGGTGGCTGCCATTTCGCTCAGTTCTTTTTACAGTTTCGGTTTTCTTTTCCCATTTTGTCACGCAAATTGCACAAAAGTTGGATTGACTTGAGCGGGAAATTAAGTTGATGGTTTCTTCTTGCCATTTCCAGGACTTGAGTCTCGGATCTCGAGTCCTGTGTCCTGAGTCCCTTGTCTCGTTCTTTGTCAGTTTGTCAGAGTGTTTGCTTTATTCGTCTTGCCGCCTTGCAATGCCAGCAATGTCATCTCCGCGTGCCTTGTACTTACTTATTTAACTTGCAATTTTGACAAAATTTCGCAAGCATATTAAAAAGTTTTCGGGTCGCTTGTAAGTGACGCACTCGCCCGAAATAATGGCTGACTGCCGGCGAGGATGCACTCTTTAATTGCAGCAGCTTAAGAAAATCAAAAGTGAACACAAAACCCAGACTCGACTCGACTCGGGTAGAACAAAACATTGTAGTGCAGTGCAGGGCCCAAAAAAAGAAAGAGACGGAAAAGATAAAGCCGGGCCACAATGCACTCAAGCGCATTGACTTCCAACT